GGTAGCAAGATTCTCCACGAAAGAGCCAAAATTCTTGTCTGGGAAGCTCACAGGGATTTTGGCTCAGAACTTTTTCAGCCAGCACAGTGGACACCTAAGAGTGTAGTTCTTGAAATACCTTCACAAGACTAGGTCCACTGAGGCTCTTTGCTTCTCTGCTCACAAAATGTGGTGAGTAACAATTCCACGCATGGAGAATGTTTGTACTCACTCACTGGGCTGAAGATGTAGAGAAGAGAGTTCTGTGGTCATGTCAGCAGAGATTCAGTTAAACACATACGTACTCTCTCTCTTCTGTCTCTCTCTCTCACACACACACATTCACACGCGTAGTGATACAAAGGTCACTTCTCTCCCCATTAAATAAAACGATCCTCTCCTAAGGGAAATTTGGGGAACGCATTAAACAACACTGAAGGAAGACAAACCCAGGGGTGGGGAAGGGAATAATAGGGAAAGAAGATAAATAGTGATGAAAAGAGCCACTGTTTCGTGTTTATATGTTGGGAGCTGAACAGGAAGTTGGAAACACCTGCAGCATATACAGGATTTGAAAAAAAATTCTTAAACATGAAACAGCAACTTTTTATAATTCCCAGATGAAATTTAACTATATTTCAGATATAAAACAATTCTCTGTGGTTGAACGTACATGTGCATAATTCTATAACTGTGTGTTGTGTTTCAACGAACTATATGAAAAGTAGTTACTGAAGTAATCGCTTGGACCGCTCCAACAGCACTCTACCTGGTCTCCCCCATCAGCTTCCACTCCACCCCCAACCCGTCCATTCTCCATGCTCCATCTGTTGGGTTTTCTTTGAAATGAAAATCTGACGGTGATATTCTGGGTCTAAAAGCCTTAAATGGCTTCTGCTTGCCTTCAAGATAAATTCAAAACCATAAATATGCCCTACGAGGCCCTCTGCCATCTGGCCTCTGCGTCCCCCTCCAGCCCTTCCTGGCACCGCTGCCCCCTGTCCTCCAGGCTCCAGCAAGCTCAGCGTTTTTGAGTCCCTCACACTCTCCCCACTTACTCTGGCTCCGGTCTTCCGTGTACGCTACTCTGAAACAGTCTCTTCTACCCTCTTCACCTGGCTAGCACATTCTTTTCATGTATATAATAATAAAAGTTTATAAAACACATTTTAAAATAAATTCTTAAAATAAGAAAAGTAGATCAAGCTGTGTAAACTAGTATACTACCCACTGCCATCGAGTTGATTTTGACTCATAGCAACCCCATAGGGTTTCCAAGGCTGTAAATCCTTATGGAAGCAGACTGCCACATCTTTTTCCCATTGAGTGGCTGGGGGGTTTGAACTGGTGATCTTTCCGTTAGCGCGCGAGCGCTTTAACTGCAGCACCAGGGCTCCTCCAACACACACACACACACACACACACACAACTGGGGTCTTGTCAAAGGACACAGGAACCAACCGGAAAAACTCTCCATGGCCAAAGCTGGAACAATTTGAGCAACAAAATAAATAAAAGAGTATTGGATTATAACCCAAAGTATAAAATAAATATTCATGAGTCCAGACGGATGTAAATAAATGAATAAATTGGAGAAGAAGAAACAATCTGCCCTGCAGAAGAATTCCAAATAATTTACGTACATACTCCACCCTCAAGGAGCTGGAGCATAACTCGGCTTCTTAAGTGTGGGCTGTACATAGTGATGTCCTTCCGAAGAGTACAGTGTGGAAAGGGGTAAAAATGAGTAGCTTTACAATGGCAAAACCTGAAAACACTATCTCAGCCAGGTGATGAAGGTTAACATCAACAATGATGAGTCCTGTTGACAGCCTGTCCCCTTGATGTGCTTTGATGAAAATGGCACTTCACCTCGTTGGTCTTCCTCCAAAGAAACCATACCCTCAGTCTAGAATTATAAGAAAAACATCAGAGAAAACCCAGTTGAAGGCTATTATACAAAACTCTTGACCAGTACTTCTCAAAACTGTGAAGGTCATTAAAAACAAGCAAAGTCTGAGCAACTTTCACAGTCCAGAGGCGCCTAAGGAAACATGACCGCTAAATGTAATGTGGTGTTTTGGATGACATCCTGGAACAGAAAAAGATGGTTAAGTAAAAAAAATTAAGAAAATCTTAATAAAGTGTAGATTTTAGTTAATAATAATGTATCAATATTGGTTCATTAACTATGACAAATACATATACATATATACATATTAAGGGAAACGGGGTATAGAGTGGAGTCCTGGTGGTCCAGCGGTTAAGAACTATGGCTGCTAACCAAACAGTTGGCAGTTCAAATCCACCAGCTGCTCCTTGGAAACCCTATGAGGCAGTTCTACTCTGACCTATAGGGTTGCTGTGAGTCAGAATCGACTCGATGGCAAAGGATTTGTTTTTTTGGTTTGGGTATAGAGCGTATGGGAACTCACTGTACTATCTTTGCAATTTTTCTGTTAACCTAAAACTGTTCTAAGTTTATTTCTAAAGTAACTAAGAAAGAAGAGAAAACACTCTTGCAGTAACAGACCTCTTTGGCATCCCAGGAACCATATAGAAAAGATCCCTACAACACTTCCAGATTAAACCACTATAGGAATCAGAGTTAGAAGAGTGTTATATTTACCCAAAGTGTGAAGAAGAGGTTATTCTGCCATTAATTTAAGCCCTGTTCGCCTCTTCGCTTTTTCTTGGCTACGATTTTAAACTCAGGGTGTATGGTTTCTATTTTGATTCCTGGATAGGAACAGCAGAATGAAACTATTTTGTCCACCTTTAATTAGTGACAATTCCAAAGCCTGAGGCTGTTTTTATTTGAAATTTAGGATTTTCAATGTAGCACATAACTCTCCCAGTAGTTTTGTTACAATTTGTCCAATCTACCTCTGTTACTTTCAACCGGGCATATTTTCCCCACTGTGAGTTCAGCAAGATACCAACTGATGGTTGAAAACTGCACAAAGGTTTTATTGTGAGCGCCTACCTTCCTGGTTTGATATTCTACAATATAGGTCAGCACATGCCCCTCCACTGCGACAGCCTGCACCTTCCCCGCTAAGGGACCCACTAAGGGGCACAGCTCACATCGCGTTGAGCTGAGCAGTAATCACTTCGGCAATGACAGTATGAGAAACAGTCATTGTGTTATGCTATTAGACACTCAACGGGCAGGTTGTTTGAAGTATTATAATGTCAGAACTTGAATAGCAACAATAACATCCCAGTCTGAGCGAGAGACAGACGGAGAATATAAGGAAGAAGAAGAATGAGGACTGGAGCCCTTCACTGCTTAAGCTCATTCCTAAAAAGTTAATGAGAACAAGAGGAAACCTCTCCTTTAAATCTCATGAGACCAGAAGTCGTGAAAATTCTGCTTAAAACCATCCCGTGAAATTGGCTTCGGGACGTCCCTCCAGCTACTCCTTCATTCAGCTTCTGCATCTCTCCCACAATCACCCGGCTGGATGTCTCCGGAGGACATGGCAGCTGGCGAGGTCGCCAGAGCAGACTTCTCTAACTGAACCCACAAGTGGAGGTGGAGAGGACAAAAGTCAGTCCGGCTCAGCGGCCACGAGCTCCCCAGCCCTCCCCACCTGACGAGAGCATCACAGATTACCCGCACCGCTGACACCGCCCCCTCCTCCGGGGATGCCATCTTGGGGTCTTATCATCCTTTAAGCAGTGAGTTTTCCATTCTCATCACGCGCCTGTGTCTTTGAAAACTTCCCTAACTTTGCCAGAGAACCTGCTGATGTGGACCCTTAATGTTCTCTGGCTAGTTCATCTGCCAAAAGCAGGTGCTATTCACGAAAAACCGAGACGACCCGCGAGGCTTGCCCCCGGCTCCCCGCCCCGTGGCCCGTCCGCACCCCGGATTCCCCGCTGGCCGGGTGGAAAGTCAGATGCTCGCCCCGGGGACCGCCGCGGCGAGCGTGGGGTGCAGGGGCGGGGGGTCCACCCAGGGGCGAGGGTCCCGGCAGGAGTGGCTGGGTGGGGGCGTGGGAGGACCCGAGCAACTTACAGCCCAGGGCGACCACCAGATAGCGCAGCAGCAGCAGGAGGAGGCGGTGGCGGCTCCACCTCGCCATCTTCCCGGGGGGCCGAGCGGGCTGCTCCTCGGAGGCCGAGGGTCGGGGCGGCAGGGGCGTAGGCGGGCGGCCGGGAGCCCCTAAACTTCTGGGGCGGGAGAGGAGGGTGAGGGGCCGGCCCCGATGGATCTCAGGTGCCCCTCCCGGGGCGCCTTCGCCGCTGGTTGCAAGGAGGCAGGTCCTCCCCGGCCCTGGGATGAGGGGTCCGGGCTGTTCTTTTTGGGGGGCGGGAGGTGGTGAGACCAGGAGGGCCGCGGACGCCGGACGAGGTGTCAGCGGGAGCGGCGAGGAAGGGACAGGCTCGCGGGTCGTCCCCGCCGCCCGCGCCGCCGGACTGATCGGCTTTGTGTCTGGCGGGCGTGGGGCTGCCAGCTGTCCCCGGGGCGCGGAGCCGGGGGCGGAGGCGCGGGCCGGAGGGGCGGTCAGCGGGGGACTGCGCCGGCCCCGCCCCAACCCCTGGCTTCCTCTCCTTGGCACGAAACTCCTCAGCGGGTTCTCAGCCCAGGGGTGGAGATTTGGGGGACATTTCAGGCCAACGGGCGTAGCTGCGAGTGAGGTGCCCGGAGGATATGGGGGTTTGTGGGCTCCGCCTCGGACACGAGAGGAAAAAAAAAAATCAATCAAGATTCCTGGGGGGCAGCGGCCTCAGATTTGAGCAGGAGCCTCTGTCCTTTCTCGCTTTAAGCTCTTTGCTCCTCGGAGAGTTACGGTGTGTTTCGTGTTATTTGCCGTCCCACGTGTCAGAGTTAGAAGTTCATCTAACGGTGTGAAATATTTACCATGTTTCTTTCCAGTTACGTAACTGCCTCCTGTGGAGTTTTCCGCATGTTAAAACCCTACAGCTGCCCTTTGTCAGGTTTATTTTTGTAAACTGTGCTTTTAAAAGGGAAACCCATTATGAACGGTCTGTTTGGTGCTTTAAAATGAACTCGCACTTAGCCTGCACAGACTACCAAGGCGAACAGGCAATTTTTATATTTGCTTCCAGGCACCAAAGCAGTGTCGGGTGTATTCAAGAGCTTCTGCACGGACAGGGCTTGAAAAAGGCCATTCCCAGAGAAGAACTTGTTATACATTTTTTTTGTTGTTGTTGTTGTTTCTTAAGATAGAACCATGCATAAAGTTCTGTAGAGAAGACAGATTTAGTGGTGTACACACGAAAAATTCAGCTGGCTCAGTGGACAAAGGCGACCGGAGTTTAGATATGCAGAGCTGTGAGGAATGAGGCATCCCTGTTGCCTTGGAGACGGTGATGGAAGCTTAGTGACTATGGGAGGGTGTGGGGGAGGAGGGGCAGAGGACCCAGAGGCCCAACAAGGAAAGTCAAAATGGCACAAATGTTAAAAACACTCAAACGTCAGACAAGGAGAAGCGGCACAGATATGAACACGGGCTTAGGCTAGTTTTTCTGGGCAATGACTAGGAAAGCTTTTATACTTTAAACAAAAAGTTGTTGGCGTTCTCTGTTCGCAGTGTTGTTACAACTATATGTCTCTTTTTTTCCTCCCTAAAGATACATATGAAAAAAGGCATCCTCTTTTTCTTTTAAACTTCTGTGACTTCCTATGTGAGTAATTGATTCGCTCAGTTATTTGTCCCCCAGCCAAGCCATTTGTCAAACAGCCACATGGTGCCTGATGTTGGGGGACAATGGTGAACAAGATCGGGCTTTACTGGCAATGAACTCCGTGTCTTGAGAATAGACTCCCATCTGGAAATACTTCTAATGAAGCAATGATAAATGCTAATGAAGGACAGAAGGTAATAATAGCAGTCTCTTACTGAATGCTTTGTCAGTGGTGGAGGCCGAATAATGCCATAGCCAATCCCTAACAACTCCGTAAGGGAGGTATGTTACCATTCCCACCTTACAGATGAGAAGACTAGGCTGAAAGATGCCAAATGGCTTCCCCAAAGTCAGGGGTAAGAGGATGATCCTTTTGTTAGGGGGAGAGGAGAGTGACTCCAGCTGATTTCTTTATTAAAAAAAACAGTTGTCATGGAGTCAATTCTGACTCATGATGACCCCATGTGTGTCAGAGTAGAACTGTGCTCCATAGGGTTTTCAATGGCTGATTTTTCAGAAGTAGATCACCAGGCCTTTTCTCTGAGGTGCCTCTGGGTAGACTTGAATGTCCAACCTTTCAGTTATCAACTGAGCTCATTAACCATTTGCATCACCCAGGGACTCTTTATTAGGCCTTGAAAAATGAGGCAAATTTTGAAAGGGAGAAAACAAAGGAAGGGCATTCTAGCTAGAGCAAAGAGCAGGATCAAAAGCTGGGAAATCTGAAAATACATGGCTTATTTAGGGAAAGCAAGGCTGTATAGCCCTAGAGTCCATGTGGAATGGGAACAGAGGTGGTGGTAGCAACTGAAGGGAAAAGTGGATAACGAAGATCATTCAATATCACATTACAGACTCTAGACCTTATCCAACAAGTAATGAGTTTTGTTTTGATTTTTTAAACACTTGGGTAGGATATAGAAAGATCCACATTTTAGAGCTGTATTATCCAATATGGTAACCTCTAGCCCCATGTGGCTTTTTAAATTTACATCTAATAAATTTACATTCAATTAAATTTAAAATTCAGTTCTCCAATTGTACTACTCCATTTCAAGTGAGCCAGCACAGATACAGAACCTTTTTTACCATAGCAGAAAGTTCTGTAGGGCAGTACTGCCATGGAATGATAATTCTTACAGAAACAGAGAATAAGGCTGTTAGACAAGTCTGAAAACTTCTGCAATATTTCAAGAAAGGGATGATGAATGCCTGAATGGTTACAATGGGATGAGCAAAAAAGCAGGTAGATTCAAATCATATTTCACAAACCCTTACTATGTCATCAGTTAGATGCAGGGGTGAGAAAGGTTTGGAGGGGTTGACTGAGGAATGTCTAGCTGAGATGACCAGCGAACTGTTAGAAAGTTTGATCTTGAGCTCAGGAAACCTTCAAGGTTGACTAAAGAAATAAATGTAAATAGCATCATCTCCTAGAACAGTGATCACCAAACCTGGCTGTTCCTCAGAATCCCCTGGAGATTCTTAAATATGAGTCTCAGCTTAAAATTATGTTAAAATTCTGAGTCCCAGATCCTAACCCTGGAGTTTCAAGTTCAGCAGCACCTGAGAAGCTGTGTTCCTAACAGGTACCCTGGTTGATTCTTAAGCAATCAGCTCTTGGACTGGTGTTCAGGGACCTTTCTAGAAGACAGGAGAAACCATGAGAGCGAATGAGCTCAATCAGGCAAAAAAGTGAACATTTATCTAGGGGTACATCTACGGAAATAACTGCAATAAGAGTTAAGGGGAGACCCGGAGAAAGAACATAAGAGCAAAGCAATAGAAGAACAGGGAGAGAATTAGAAGCCAAAGATGGAGACATTTACAGTGTCAAATGCTAAAAAGAGGATTGAGAATTGTCTCCTGGATTTGGCCATTGACCACTGGGACACTAGAGAAAGCTAGCCTCCAAAATACTTGCAGAAAAAATGTACAGACTTGTGTTCTATAATTGAAAAAGCAGCTAATGCACAAGATAAAAACAAATAATGAAATGGTTCAAAACAGCAGCAGGAAGGTGACAGGCTTGAATCCCTGCTGAGAATTTGCATTTCTAATGAGTTCCCAGGCGATGCTAATGCTTCTGGTTAGGGACCAATTCTGAGAACCACCAGTAGAGCAGTGGTTCTCAAAATTTATTATACATAAGAATCCCCTGGGGATCTTGTTAAAATGTGGATTCTGATTCAGTATATCTGGGGGGTGGAAAAGCAAATTCTCAGCAGGGGTTTGAACCAGAACAAACCAATTCGAAGCCCTGAATAGCAATAGCCAATACTAGTGCATCATTAATGAGTAGTTGGAAGTGGGCTTCATTATGGCTTCCCTTGTCAGAATCCTGAGGCAAGGAGCGTAGGGCACTTTGTGGGGAGAAATGGTGAGGAGATGCCTGAGAAGTCTCTTTTAGTCCCTCTAAACTTTGTTCCATTCTGTGTGGTCATACTGTCCCCCACTCCTCTGTACCTGTCATAATCGCTTTTACTCTGACAATATAAACAGTTTTGTCAGGTAAATATAAATGGAAACTTGATATTTTAGGACATCTTCTCATTTTGTATTCTTTCCACCTACTCGAATTTCGAATTCAAAGTAATGTTGAGGAGGTGTCAACATGCATTTCCTAAAACAAGCAACAAAGCCAAGGGCTGGGTTTGAATACAGTGACTTCTCACAACGTCTCAGATTTGGTGTTTCTGTGTTGGATGGGTTATTTTTCCTCATGGGTGTGGAGAAGGTGCTAGAAAGTGTACCCACACTCTGCAATTTAGAGAAAATAGGAAAAAAAAAAAAAAAGTCTTCCATTTCCAGAACCGTATAAATACTCAAGTGTTTCTTATAAATTTTAAATTTCTATAGACAGAATTCAAGGTATTTAACTAATAGAGTACCCATTACCTAACTACCCTTATCCCTCACCATTATCTCCTTGGATCATTTTCTGGGATAAGCTGATTTCAACATCCCATTCTGTGCCCACAAGCACACTTACGCCTGTTCTTATCCTCAACCCCTGTGCCAGCCAAAAGAACCTATTCAGAGAGCCCGCAGTGTCTCCAGCACGTAGCCTACATTATTCTCTCAAAGTGACATCTTACTCCAGGCGTAAGTATAATGACACAGTGCTCAAAACTCACTACCAAGAAAAAAAAAAACACAAAAAACCTCAGGCCCCTCACCTGGTTCTAATTACTACAAGCAGGAACATTCTCTCATTCACTCTCTTTGCTCCTAAATTCCTTAATATAACTTAGTTCTACCTGCCAGTTAAGGAAAGTTCATCAGCAGTCATTCAATTAGTTATTAATATTCTCTTTACTTCTTTTTTTCTCTCTCTCTGTCCCTCCCTTCCTTTCCTTCCTCCCTCCATTTCTCTTTCTTTCCTTCTGTCACACATTTATTATCAACTCCATGGTTTGGTTCTTTATTGAGTGATCATTAGGTACGATGAAAATGATTTTTTAATGGGATTTTCTTGGGGCAAGAAATTAGCATTTAACAATCATTTTCCGGGGTTAAACAAAGGATGGACCAGCATCATTCTACCTATAAGCATAGAATCCTAAAATCTAAAGCTTGGGCCGACCTTAGAGGCTAATCCCACTCCATCCTCAACATCCCCCCTCCCCTCACTTCACAGTAAGGAAGATGCGGCCAACATGGTTAAATGACTTTCTTGAGCTTACACATGGAGAAAAGAAAAGAGCCAGACCTGTAATGGACATCAGCTATGTTTTTCCGGTGCAGTCCCCAAATCAGCATGGGTCCCTCTACATTTGCTGGGAGAAGTTTTTGCCTGTTCATATATATCTTGATCCAGTTATGCCTTACTTTCCCTCCAGAGAGAGGGACACCCATCTATCCCATTGCCATAGAGTCGATTCCAACTCATAGCGACCCTATAGGACGGAGTAGAACTGCCCCAGTAGATTTCCAAGGCTGTGATCTTTATGGAAGCAGACTGCCACATCCTTCTTCTGCAGAGTGGCTGGTGGGTTTGAACCGCCGACCTTTTGGTTAGCAGTCGAACACTTAACCATGGCGCCACCAGAGCTCTTTGCCTAAGGCAGCTATACTGAATATATGTTTTATTTAAAGAGTGAGTGGGGAGAGTAAGTATTGTCCATTGGGTTGCAGGGAGCTACACAGTCTAGCTCAACATCTTGGATCTGGAGTGATACAGCCCAAATGAGAAGATGTTCAAAGAACTTTCAATAGATTTAATAATTCTTCCGTTGGGCCACTGCTCTCCAGAGTATTCTTAATGATAATGATGATATTAATTATTAACATTTATTGGGTAAGTAGTATATGCTTGGCACTGTGCAAAGTACTTTACAGGCATTATCTAAATAAACAACTTTATGAGGAAGTGTTGTTATTATTTCCATCTTGTTGCTGTTGTCAGTGTCAAGTTGGCTCTGACTCATGATGACTTAACAGAACAAAACGTTGCCCGATCCTCTGCCATCTTCATGATCACTGGTAGGTTTGAGTCCGTTATTGTGGCTATTGTGTCAATCCATCTCACTGAGCATTTCCCTCGTTTTCAATGACCTTCTACTTTACTGAACAGGATGTTCTTTTCCAGCTATTGGTCTTTCCTGATGACATATCCAAACCAAGCTATCCCCTCTTCTAAGGAGCATCCTGTTTGTATTTCTTCTAAGACTGATTTGTCATTCTTTTGGCAGTCCACAGCATACGGTACTCAACATTCTTTGCCAACACCACAGTTCGAATGCAATTTCCATCTTACAGATAAGTAAACAAAGGCTAAGAAAAGTTAAGTCCCTGGCATAGGACCAGGTAACTAGGAAATAATTAAGCCAGATTTAAACTCAGGTTTGTCTGGCTCCAAAACCCACGTTCTTAACTACAAAAACATCTGAAAAGATGAATTCCAATGCAATGTATTTTCCCCTTCTTTGTTATCTTTTTTTCAGAGATTCTCTTTTTCTTCATAGATCTTGAAGGCTGTCACTTGATCTTTGCAATGACAATGTCATCATTACTTGTTTGACATATTTTGAAAATCCTTTCAAATACATTTTCTCTTTGAATTCCTGCAGCAAACCAATTAAGAAGCTGAGGGAAAGATATGATTATGCATATTTTAACAGTCCTATCTATAACTGACAGGTATCAATAAGGACCTAAAAAACTCCAGAAGCCAAACAAATACAGTGAAACCTGCGAGAGCAGGAACTCTCTGGGACTGCCTTGTTTTTCCTGGTCTCGCGAGTTTTCTACGTTTCACAGGTTGCAGCTTATCTGTTGTCCCCTGTTAGTGGAAGATATTTGAGTTTTCCTGCTCTGACGGATTTCCACCTTACACAGGTTCTGGCTTTCACAGGTTTTACTGTAGAAGTGTCTCAAATTTCTCTATGAACAATATTCAGGATACTCCCAGTGACCAGGCCGGGCATCAGACTGTCGGAGGGTATGATAAGTGTGCTGTTGGGAGTCTGGCTGGTTGGGTGTGGGTCCCATCTCTGTGTGGTTCATTATGGAGGTTGTCTTTGGCTGGGTTCTCTAGAGGAGCAAAACCATTGAAGTCTATATATAAATACATATAGAGAGATTTATTTCAAAGAGATGGCTCATACAATTGTGGAGGCCGGCAAGTCCCAAATCTGTGGGGCAGGCAGCAGGCAGCAGGCTGAAAGCTTCCCAAGTCCCAAGAACCGGAGGTCAGAGGAAGATGAGATGAATGCAGGATTGAGAGAGCAAGCTTTGCCAGAACATTCGTTTATATCACGAATGCAGGTCACACCCCCAAGGAAACTCCTCTTCCAACTGACTGGCTGCTCACATCAGATCACAAAATGGGAGGTGATACACAGAGTCTGCCAGACCACTGAGAATTATGGCCTGACATTAACCATCACAGAGGCTCAGAGTCTTAGGAAACTGCCCATACTCCACTGTCAGTGAGCCGAAATCATCTGCCTCCAAAGACCCCATGATTCCCCATTCACTTGTTTCAGTGATCACCCCTGACTTCTCAGTTTATATCTCTCTAACTCAGATCTTTCTCTCAAGCTCCAAATCTGTTTTCCCTGTTTTTAGAACATCTCTACCTAGACACTCCACTCAAAACCAATATGTCTAAAATTCAGCAGACCACATTACCTCCCCACCAAAGCCTCCTTTTTCAGCCACTTTTTTCCTCCTTTCCTCCCCCTTTTCCATTCTTTCTACCTTCTATTATCCAATATGTAATGAATACCTAACATATACCAGCACTATGCCAGTGGCTGGGAATACAATTATTGCAGTAGCAGATGATTTCCCGTCTTGTGGAGATCTAGGTGGAAGAGATAGACATTAATCAGGCAAAGTAATCATGTACATAGCGGAACTATTAATACAGGGTCTGACTAGTCAGAGACGTCAGGGAAGGCTTCCCTGAGGAAGTGACGAACCTGAGTCAGACAAATCTGGGTTTAAATCTGGAGAAGGAAGTGTAACAGTGGACTCAAGCCTACGGTTTTAGCACATGGCCACCAGCCAGAAGCAGCTGGTGGGTTGGCTTGCTGAAGGGTATTTATGGGGCCAGTTGGGAGACAACACCCTGTGAGTTTGATGCTTTCTCCTCCTTAGCTAGAATCCATGAGTGAAGGTGGGAATGACCCCTCTGTTACACAAGTATCCTGTGAAAGGATTTTTGCTTTCATCCCAGTGACCTTGGCTTTAGTGGAGGTCTTACGGACCATGGGAGGAAAGTTCCCGCCAGGAAAACATGCTCATGATTCTGTTAAACTGGAATTTGAGACTGATCCCTGGAAATGTTTAGATACTTATGTTGGTGAGAGAACACGCAGTAAAGGGAGTTACTGTTTTGGTGGTAGTGAGGTGATTGATTGTGATTGCTACAGGAAAACCGAGTTTCTGTGACACCATGGGGACAAGGGGCACTATGTCAGGAACCCAGGGGTTCTATGGTCTCTCTTTGCTCAGTAGTCCTGGTTAAAGGAAACCGCAGCAGTGCAATGAAGAACCACCTAGGACTCGGTTCCTGAAGGAATGAGGTTTAGATTACCCTATCAGGCAAAAACTGCTGCCAGTAGAAGTGCTGGCAAGGGGAAAGGGAACATGGAATGGGTGGTGGGAAAAGGAGATTATGATTATCAATTCAGGCCTTGAGATCAGCTACAGAAGGTTGGGCTAAAGCCATTATGTTTATGCTTTATGATAATTGTTCCTTCCTCTGTTTTCCTCTATCCCCTACTTTTTATGACAAGCACTGCTGGTATCTAATATTTTAGATTTCAGGTGAGAGTACGCCCAAATTGATATCATCTAGTTAAGATCTGGTAACTGATGGTATTTTGCGTACCCTTGAGTTGGAATATGATGTGAGGGGCAAAAGGAGTGGATTCTGTTATATGCCTCCTGTTTGCCCCTCCAGAGCCATTCCTCACCCTTCTGTACCCTGCTCTCTGCTCTGGGGGTCTGACTTTCAGGGAC